AGCTCTTAACCAACTGAGCCATTTAGCCGGCCCTTGACCACATTTTAATAGCTAAATTCAAGGAGGTTGATTCTTGGGAGATGAATACTGGGTATACAGAGGTTGTGCCATAAAACCAAAGTTTTATGTACCAATAAACTTTAATCCTAAGAGAGAAAGATTGAGGATTTACTTAAACTGAGACTTTTTTCCTCCTTTTTACTCAAAAATATTTCAAATCTATAAAAAGTGGAAAGATTGATAAAATAAACATCATTTTTCACCTGTGTTCACCAATTGTTACCATCTTGAGGAGTTTCAGTTTTAGTGAAATGTCCCCCTTTTTTTAACTGAATTGTTTGAAGGAAAATTCTTGATATCATAATGCTTCACTTCTTAAAATATATTCTCTTGCATCTCCTAAGAGCAAGAACGTCTTTCTATATAATCACAATACTATTATCACACCCAAGAAATTTAACATCTAACATATAGTCCCAATATTCAAATTTCTACAATTGTCCTGAAGAAAGTTCTTTTTAGCTTTTTTTAAAATCTAGGAATTACTCAAGGATCATATATAGCATTTAGTAGTAGTGGTCTCTTTAGTTTCCTTTTATCTAGAACGGTACTCCTGCATATTTTTGTTTTTTTGTTTTTTAATCAAGACCAGTTGTTTTGTAGAATATCCCACCGTCTGGATTTGTGTGAATGTTTCTTCACTGTTAGATTCATGTTGACCATTGGACAAGAAACAACATAGGTGATGGTGATCACTTTCGTTAGATCACATCAGGACACACGTCAGTTTGTGCCATTATTGGTGATGCCATGTTTAATCACTTGGTTAAGAAAATGTATGTAAACAAGGAATGTTTTAGTAAAATTCTTTTCTTGATTTATGAGTTAGCTCAGTTATTTGATTTTTTCCTTTTCGCCAAGAAATCTAATCTCAAAAAAATTCATTAAAATAGGGAAATTCTGAGGTGGTGATTCTTGCTGGGCTCCTGAGACTATATCTGAGTAAATTCTTTACCCTGCATTATATATGCAATGATAGATCTTATGTCTTAGGCATCAAGCGTCTTGTCCTCCCTGCAATCCAGTCTTGTTCTTCCATGTGAATCTCTCAGCCTTTCCCAAAGTCTATTTTCCCAAAGGGCCCCACCTCAGGGCACACCCACCCACCTCTTAAGTTAGCTCTAACACTACTTATCAGCATGCTGGTGTCTGCAATTCCTCTAAGAAGTTACAGGTGAGAAGAAAATGGGGCCTTCTATGAAGCTGGGGGCCAGCTTGAACAGAGGAAGGAACAGGAACACCGGACAGAAGAAACTGGTTTCTTTTGTGAATAGAGGTAGGAAAACAAGAACAAAAGCCAGAGCTGGGGCTGGGACAAGAAGCTATAGGGAACTAAGAGGAACTCAGATAGGAAACTGTGGTAGGAAAGACCTGGGCTCGGAGAACAGAGCATGAGATACAGGCCCAAGGAATCTCAGAAACACATATATCCTCGGTACAGCAAGGCTGAACTGGGAAAATTCCCCAAACTTGTCATTTCTCTTCACAACCCTAATCGTGGAATTGTGTGGCATTTGTGATAACTGTCAAGGCATTCACTATTTTTGAGGAAGGTATGCCGTATTTTTGAGGAATGTTACAGAAGAGGCCAACAGAACCAGGCTATATACTCAGTATAGGGAGGGGAACAAAACAGAATCCTTTTTGCTCATAATTACTTTCTTTCAACATATATTATTTTTATAGTCAAGTAGGTTTTGACACCTTTAAAAAGTTGGGTTACATAGGCACACAGAGTCATCTCTCAGAGGCATCCTGCTAATTAAAAAGAGCAGAGGCAGCAGTAGGTGAAATCATGTGCTCCATCATAAAGGGTGCAAGGATTCATTAGGAAGGGCTGTCAGGAGGTTGTTGCAAAAACACCAGAAAGACCCCTGCAGCTCTGAGAGCCAATGACGAAGCAGGCCGTGTGATTTCAAGACCCAGTGTTTCTTACCTTAGTATATGTAACACTGGAACTTTGCATTTTCTTTACCAGTTAACTTTGCACATGTGTTCCCCTCCCACCTGGAACTGGGAGAGGTGAGTGGGAGACAGGAAGGTACATATAAATAGAACAGACTCACTGAGCAGGAACATGCATTCTGTCCATTTACCTCATCAAAAAATGGGTTGTTCCCTCTCTTGATTCTTGTTCGGTGTGTCTGGCCACAGATGTGGACTTTGACCACAGGTCTTATGTTGTTGCCACTTAACTGCCGGCCCTCAATCACTCGGACACGGATCTGCAAGCACGGAAGAAGTGTTGTTATTGATCTTTCTCAGGTGTTGGCTCTGCTCGTTCACCTGTGAAGATGATTGACACCAAGCCAGGGCGGCTTTGCAGTGTCCTGGTGCTCATGGACTGGGAGTCCCCACCAGTGCTCATTCCCAAGGTGGGGACTGTGGTTGGGTTGTAGAAACCAAGAGCAGTAGTGGGGTTGAAATAGTCCAGAGCTGGCCTTGGAAAGGGAAGGGCTGAGGTCCCAGCTCAGACCCCAGCTTCCTACCTGGTCTTCCTGAGCCCTAGGAAGTGCTACCTCCCTCCATAGCTGTCTCCAAGTCCAAGGCAGTGCCCAGAGCTGTGAAAACACAATGTCTATACTTCTATTCTTTGATTACTATTTTCCTACCTCCAAAGGGAAGAAAGGGTCTGGTTTTATTTCTCTGAAGAGCCTCATCTGACTACATCTACTCCTGCACACAGAAGGAACATGGAGAACTCTTCTTATCGCATTTATGCCCTGACATCCTTTTTTTACTAATCGAGCCACTGCCCACAGGACTTTCCACGTTACCTCAATTGCCAAAAGTTGGATAATATGGCGGTATAGCCAGGACGCAGGGCGCTTGGGCGGCTCCTACCTGGAAGTCCTGTGGCTTGTTGGACAGCATCCGCCGGCTGTTCTTCCTTTTCGTGAGCCTCTGGGCAAGCTGAGCTCCCGACGTGGTCCCGCTCGGCCCTCTGGGCCCAGGGCCACTGACCGTGTTGTCCAGCCTGTCTTCCTCACCTCCATCTTCCTCCTCTTCTCCTAAAACACCAAAAAGACATCCAGTCAGAGGTGGCTCTCACCCTGTGAATGTCTGATCATTCTGGTTTCCCGAACAGGGAGAGATTTCAGTGTTCCTGAGGCAGCAGGTGAAGGAGATGCTTCTTGGTGACACTGACTTGGGGTTGTCGTGACTCAGATAAAGATTCTTTAGGAAAATTGTTCATGGTGCATCAGGGCACTCATTTAGGGAGGCCACCTGAGACCATGGGAGAGCATGAGACGGCGCAGTCGGACCCAGCCAGAAATCACCCAGTTCTGATCTCGGAGCCCAGCCTGAGGTCAAAGGGCCTTTCTGCGGTTAGGACCCAGAGGGAGGAGCCTATGCCGTGGGAAACTGAAACCTTGTAGAAGACCCTTCAGCTCTACCCTTCCATGACTGCAGGTCTTTTTTGAGATCTACTCATGAGGTTTGTACTGTCTCCTTTCTACCTGAGCATCCTGACTCACAAATGTCCCCTCCATCCCCATGGCAGATGAGAAAGTCACCTCCAGTTTTATTGCCAAGCAGAATAAGGTGGTCATCATGCTCTCCCTTTGTCCTCCTGGTTTGTCACTTCCACATGTATCTGTCCCCTCACATATCCCCNGTTTGTGATTCCTTTGCTGCAAGACAAACAAACATTTTCTCTGAAGTATTGTCATAACATACCAAGTTCCCCAGGTGAGTGTCTATATTAATGTCTTCGCTTTGCACTGCTCCCAACCTTAATTGGCCCTGGTATGACTCAATCAGGACTCTCTAAGCTCTATTAACTGGTTTTATAATTTGATTTTGATAAGATCAAGATATCCTCACAAAACAGAGGAATTACCCATTTGTGAATGTTAGGAAAATTACCATTAGATTTAAAAAAAAAAGGAATCCATATTAAGCTACTATTAATTCGTTCTGTAAGTATCCTTCCCCCTCCTCAATCAAGAAAGAAAATGTTTTTGATTCCTTGATTCCTCCCAAATTTTCTGGATTCCCAGAATCTTCAGTTCATGGAGAGAATATTACTTACCAGGTTCATCATAAACGAATCCAACATCAATCTGGGAAAAAAATGATTAAAGGAGTTTAAATAGATTTTAAAATCAGTTTAGTCACTGCAAAGACACCATCATTATTATATTTAAATATAACGCTTTTGACTAGACTTAAATTTCTTTGAGACTCAACATTTCCATCTTACCCTCTCTGTATTCCCAATACCTTGCCTGATGTGTAGCACATAAGAGGCACTTAATCAATTGTTTTGAATGAATAAGCTATCTTAAAGCTGGAAGGGACTATGGGAGTAAAATAAACAATGTGTCTCTGTTGGCTTGGGACTTTGCTGGTAGCACAGAAAGTCTCACATTCTGTGAAATCTCTTAGTCCTAGGCAAACCTGAACTTGTGCTCACCCTACAGGAAGTCAGCTGGCCCAACTTCCTACCCAATACTCTTCTCCTCCAACTAATGCTAATGCTACTATTAATACAATCATTGATTGGACACTTCAATGTGTCACCCATTGTGCCAAGCGCCTTATATATTCTATCTCAGTCTTCACAATGACCACATTTTTATAGATGAAGAAATGAAGGATCAGACATCTTGGCATGTTGGTGGCAGACAGGGATGAATACAAACAGGTCTGCCTGACCCAGATTATCCTCTGGGACTTGTAATGACTAGGAGCTCCTCCCCTCAAGAAGCAGCCCATTTCATGTTGAATCGCTGGGAAAGCACCAACCAAGTATTTGTCCTTAATTCCAATAAGAGTTACTTGGAAAAACACCCTGATTCTCATCCTTGGTTTGGCTTGCCTTTCACATTCCAAATTTATAATAATTGGCTTTGCAGATGGCTCGCTGGGGCCACTCGTAAGTGGAGTTGGGTAGTGGGGCTTCTTGCCATAAAGCACCCCTTCCCTTTGCGGCAGTGCATTGGTTTCCATCTACAATTGGAATGCTAGGAAGGGCCCTGATGTGGTATCTTCAGGGCATCTTGCTTTAGGGCGCTGCTATGTGTTGCTCTTTGCAAGTCCACTAACCCAGGCCAGAGGACACTCAGCTGGTTTCTGGTCCTTGGGGCATTAATGTCCAGCTGGTATTCCAGCCCTCAGCAAAGATCATGGAATCAGCCCCTTACACGTAACCTTAAGATGTCACCAAGATCAGCATCCTGAGACCTGGCCAGGAATCTGATTCCTCATTATGAAAGTGTCCATCTTTGATGTTAGTTGAATGAAACTGACTGTTGACACTCACCTTAAATTCCCCCATCAGACAATCTGCCCGCAAAGAATGGGAATTATAAACCTGGAAGAAAGGAAGGCGGTGAAAAGGTTATTGGCTT